CACCATGTTCTAGTTCTAGCCTATCTGGAGACTATTTGAAGGACCATACTTTCCAGATGTCCCAATTTAGCAGGGACAGTCCTGTCTGTCATCCCACTATTACAGATGCTTTTAAAATGTCCCAGTTTCTCTCTCCTTTTCCCTTATTTCTCTTTTGTCCTTAATTGCTGCAAACATGCAAAAGTAATTTCTTCTGATTTCTGATTTCTTGACAACACTCTCCATTTGGTTAATGGCTGAGCCAAGACGCAGGAGATCTTCATTTACTTCAGTGTCTTTTTACGCACTGTAAAGTCACATAAATAATCTGTGGTCATTAATTTGCATCAAGTCTTTTCTGAGATTAAACAAATTTCCAAAGAGTGCTCTTGCATTCCCCCTTTCAGGAAAATACCGGAGGCAAATTAAAACAACAGGTTTTGTGGTCATAGAATCCTAGAGTTGGAAGAGACCACAAGGGTCATCCAGTCCAACCCTATTTTGCCATGCAGGAACTCTCAATCAATGCATCCCTGACAGATGGCCATCCAGCCTCTGTTTAAAGACCTCCAAAGAAGGAGACTCCACTACACTCCAAGGGAGTGTGTTCCACTGCCAAATAGCTCTTACTATTAGGAAGTTCCTCCTAATGGTCCTTTAAAGACTGAATGGATTTATTGTTTGCAAGTGTTTATGGGCCACAGTCATCTGATACAGTCTGCAAAAATTATTACCATCATAAATCTGCTAGGTCTCAAGATTCTGCTGCAACAGCCTAACATGCTTAAGTCTTCAGAGTTTGGAAGGCTTCCTTTTTTGGATTACACTTCCCAGAATTCTCTGGCCACTGAGGATTCTGGGATCCTTGGTCTGGTTTCCAAGGTCATGCACCAAAGGTGAAAGAGAGCTGGAGAGGTGTTGAGGAAGACTCAATCAGCTGCCCTTGGGGCGAGAATGAACTACTCCATTTTCATCTGTGAAATGCTGGAGGATATGATGTGGTCATTGGTGGCTTCTATGGCAATGGATGGTGGTGGCGAATCTGGGTTTCAATATGAACATTCAAGGTGTTAGCACACACCCCACATATCCCATGTTGTATTTTGGGGTCTCCATATTTCATATCTCATATTTGGAGATAGCATGTTTTTGAGAGATTGATGACCTTTCAGGATCACTAGGTCAGGAGTGTGTCCCCAGGCATGTACACATCCAGGTAAACAAGACCATCAAATGCAGATGGGTCTATCCATTTCTCCTTCCTTGCGCCAAATCATCTGCATATACTCTTGCAACTTGAGACAAAGACTCTCCATGCACCCAAAGCAGTAAGCCAACTTCTCTGCCTACCCACTGTTATGTTCTCAGTCAAACTTCCCTGTCTAACCATCACAGGGAAATCCTGATCCATTTGCTGTTTTTGTCACACTAAAATTAAAGCCCTCAACCCATCCGGAATCCTATGGTTGATTCCTGGGAAAGGACAGCCAGCTTTTGTTATGTGGCGAGATAGTCCACCTCTTGGGTTACTTAAGATATAAATATGGTTCCAAACCCTAACCTCTGTGCACACAGCTGGCATATACCTCTGCACTTTGCCCATGTTTTGTGTCACCTGCAGACCTCTGAGTCTGAGCCACTCCAGCTACTTATTGAATAGGTAATTATCACCCCCCCTCAAACCCCTCACCTTTCCATATTTCTGCTATCACCTTTCCATATTTCCATTTAGCTCTGAATGGTGTGCATTGTTGTTGTGTCCCTGATTGCACTCTGCATTTTTCTAAATAAATACCTTCTTTCTATTTCTGCATTTTTCTAAATAAAAACTCCCCAAACCTTGAGTCTTCCTTAGTACTGGTATAAACAGGTGCAAATGCTCCAAAAGTTACCCAAGCCTTTTGCGATGCTAATTTCCCCAACATTTGAAGTATCACTGAACCAATTTGTACATCCACTTACATGTAAACTAGCCTGCAGACTTGCAAGGATTTCCCCATGTGTTGAACCTCTACCCCTAAACTAGATTCAATACCTTCTTGAATTGCTCCTTTAAAAGGATAAAAACTCAGAGCTCAGGTCAGGATTCAAATCACATTTTTTAGACCAATACTCTTTTTATAAAAATCAATCATCTTTATTCATCATTTCAACAGATATACAAAACATATATATAATTAAAAACACCACGTAAACATCTACATCATATCATTCACAATATTATCACACATCCTACCATACCATCATCAACATTAAATATACTTCATTCATCTTCATTTTAAAAAAAATCTATAACATAAATATATCCATACATACAAACAAAACATAATGACAATATCTAAATTACATAAAACATAACCTACAAGACTTCCCAGCTCTTTTTTCCCTTTTATAAATTACCTATTCTTATCTCACTTCCGAAAAAGCTTCCTTATTTTTGAACTCACACTCATTCTTATATACATAACCAAAGGAGAGTATTTTCCAATTGTATATTTTACTCCAATCCAATTACATATAAACATACCCCCCATTCCTTTTTCATATAATCTATAAACGGTTCCCATTCCTTCATGATTTTATTTCGTGATTTTTTTCTTAATCAAATATGTTAATTTATCCACTTCAAAATAACTATATAGCTTTCTTATCCACTCTTTTTCTTTTGGGACGTCATCCTTTTCCCACACTTTCCATACTTTATCTTCATTAATAATGATTTTATCTCCTTCTGTCCTATATTATGAATTTTTCTTTCATCTCTTTTTAACTTTCCCACCAAGTTTAGACCAATACTCTTGATCAAAACCAGGCAACGTATCAAGGGAACAACTCGAAAACAAAATTCTGATTTGTATTGCAAAACAGAGGCGTACTCTATATTAAACATGAGAGCAAAACTAAATATATTGATTTGGCTCAGCTGTAAAGGTAAGGAAGAATCCATCTGAAAGCACAGACCTTGGCCTAATGTCCCTTTCCTCTATGAAGTTGTTAAAAGAAAAAAAGAGTAATATTAAGACACCTGATTAAACAAGGTCAGGATTCCCATAATCCGAACCATTCCCCAAACAGTCCTTATGGTGTGTAAAATGAGTGGGCTGGGCCAGGGATGATGAAGGGGTCAAGGGTAGCAATGTGGCTTTGCATTACACACTTCCTGGACATCTTCCAGGAGATCATATTTTTTTTGGTGAGCCTGATCTGACAGCAGGAATTTATACCTACAATTAGCTTTAGTAAACGAAAAGATAGATGTTCAGCATTTGTCTTCCGATTCTGCCAAGCTGGTTTTTACAAAGAGGATGGTCATTGGCCATATACAAAGGGATCTTGTAGCACATTTGGAGACGTAAGGCTGTTGCAGAGGGCCGGTCTGGGGGTGGAGTTGGGGCAGGGCAGCCACATGCCGGCCGCCCCAACCCCACGCCAATGCCGTCCTGACCCTGTGCAGCCGTATGCATGGTGGCAGCGTCAGGACGCCCTTCCAGTGCAGCGTTTAAACACGCTGTGCCGAAAGGGCACTGAAGAGCCGTGGCGCCGGCTCTTAGGGTGGCAAAAGAACTGTGGCATGGGGTTGCCATGGCCCTGATCCGCCATTCC